TTCAGCAAAAAAAATGGGCTGAAAAACTCGGCTTATACTCGAGTATATACGGTAAGCTGTGTGTAAAAAAAAATGAGAGAGAGAAGCTGATTGGTTGCTATGGGCACCGGATGAAATAGAACTTGTCTCAGACACTTTATATTATTTCCCCTCCATAGTGCGCACACATCGGCGCACTCCTAGAGCCGGCAATGCCGGAGTACTGCCAGGAGTTATCCCCGATCATAAATCCGGCCCTGTGAGTGTCTCACTTCCTCTATTGAACTTATATTAAAGCTGCAATGCCGGACAATATTACACTGGACCTTCCATAAATGTGACACCACATGACCCCATTCCTCCTCCTGAGGCTCCTCCCCCTCATGGTATTGTATCAGGAGAGACTCCAACATACATGATGGTGATTGGAGGAGAAGAGAGAGAAGTTTGGAATGACGGATCATATACGGAGATTGCTGTGTCTGATCATTGTACATACATCCCATCTCTCTCACATCGGGTGGATTATTTCTGTACATTGTTCTCTTCATATAAAGTAGACATGAGCCGATATTCTTATTCAGCAGAAATCTGGGTCAGTGATGAAACTTGTATCTCTTCATGATATACATTATGATGTGATGTCACAGGATGTGTATATAACAGTCTCTATGTCTCTCTCACATCGGGGGGATTATTTCTGTACATTGTTCTCTTCATATAAAGTAGACATGGGTGGCCTGGACATGGCGGCGTGAGGCAGCACTTTCTTGGAGCTCTGTGCCATGAGCCCGGGACGGCAGACTAGTAGACGGTATCGGTACTTTATAACCCCATGTCGAGGGAGAGACAATCCCAGGGCACAGGCAGAGGACAACGGCAAACTGACCTTCTTGAGATCTTCGCGCTTTCCAGACGGGACAGTGTTTCCCAGCACGATACCAACATGGCGACCGCGCGTGCGGCAGCTTCAGGCTCGGCGTCCTCAAAGAAGGCCCTGAAGTCTGAAGGCCCACTCATCTTCATTCTCACCCTAGAACCCTTCCTGTGTTCCATCAGGACAGACGGGGACGTGGGGGGCCTACTGACCCATACGGGATCTCATAAGGTGGCCGCTTATGCGGATGACCTCATATTTTTTGTGTCTCACCCCATGACCTCCCTGCCCAGCCTCCTCCGGGCCTTTGACATATATGGGGATCTATCCAACTTTATGGTGAATCCGTCAAAGTCGGAGGCTCTCAATATATCTCACCACCCGGGAGGTGGAGCAGGTGAGAGCCTCCTTCCAGTTTCGGTGGGCGCCGAGGTACCTTAGCTATCTTAGGGTGCGGATTACATCGGACCCTGACAGAATATACGAGGAAAACTTTGCCTTACTGATAGGCACGGTCAAACAGAGTCTGGCCAGATGGCAGGAACTGACCCTCACTTGGTTTGGCCGGTGCGCCTCTCTTAAAATGACGATCCTCCCGAGGATCTTGTATATGCTCCACACGTTGCCGATTCGTCTCCCCCCCCCAGCTTTTTCACCCAAATGAGACGGCTTTGACTCCGGTATTGGGTGACCCAGACTTCCCCCCGGGGTTGGGGAAGGGCCCACTTCGACAAGCAACTACAAGCAGTTGTGCTCACCACCTGAGTCAGTCTGTCCCCCTTTTGTGGAACGGTGGGAGTCTGAGTTGGGTAGGTCCTTTACTGACCAGCAGAAAGCCACGATCCTGTCCATGGCTCATAGATCATCCATGGCCTGCAAATACCAAGAACAGGGATATAAGGTACTTACCCGCTGGTACAGAGTCCCCCATGTTTTACACAAAATTGACTCCTCTATCCCGCCACTTTGCTGGAGGTGTAATCAGGCTCCGGGCACTATGCTCCATATTTTTTGGACATGTGCTGACATCCGCCCTTTTTGGAACGCGGTGAGGATGATGGTTAATCAGTTGGTGATTGAGCCCCTACCTGAAGAACCGGGGGTGTTTCTATTACATATGACATCTACCAAACTTAAACGTTACAAACGGTCTTTAACAGTACACATGCTGAATGTGGTTAGGTCCTGCATACCCCTGTTGTGGAGACAACCCAACCCCCCCACAGTAAGACTCTGGTTTACTATCATGGATGACATATATCATATGGAGGACCTGACGGCCTCCTTGCGTAATGAGGAGGAACTCTTCAAGTCCACCTGGATGCCTTGGCTTCATTTCACTCACTCCGCTGCCTACATTGCTGAGATAGAGGGGAATCCAGGGACACAGCGGGATACTGGATGAAGAGAATGATGCCCAGGGATGATACCCGATGGCCACAGAGACACGACCGATGCACCACTTCCCTTCCTTTCTTTCCTTCTTTCTTTCCCATCTGCTCTTTGCTGCTTCCCTTTCCTCACTCTACAGCTCGATGGTGAGATATGCTGCAAGAGTAACCACACACTGGTGGTTTACACCTGGCTCTCCATGGCAGACTCCCTTCACACTCGAGCTATGGTTCATCCCACGCTGATAGTTTTGGCGAACGGGGTGTGCCACACTTTGGCATAAATGTTGATCTGTTCTGATGCCATATTGGCTTCTTTAGTTTGCCCATATTCTGTAATTGTAGTGTATATGACAGTCCAAATAGGCAGAGCTCGCTCCGGCTTTAACATGGTCTGGCGAGACAGGGTAGCTTCGTGTGGGCAGCATGTAAGGGTAGGAGTTTCCTAGCAGTTAGGTTGGCCCCACTGGAGAGGAACAACTTATCTAAATTCCTTTGTGTTACCAGCTGTCTTTAACCGTTTAAGTGAGATGATGATACGTCTTAGGTCTGCCTGATAATGCTAGTTTGCTGCCAGTAGACCATGTTGATGATCATGAATGTTATGGAAATAACTTTTGTCTTGCCACTGTATGACACACTGATGTATGCAATGTATGGAAACAATAAACGAAGTATTTAAAGTAGACATGAGCCGATATTCTTATTCAGCAGAAATCTGGGTCAGTGATGAAACTTGTATCTCTTCATGATATACATTATGATGTGATGTCACAGGATGTGTATATAACAGTCTCTATGTCTCTCTCAGACAGTCGCACTCTGCGGTATTATAGCACTGTAGTCTCCTCTCCGGGATCTGGACTTCCTGAGTTCTCTATAATCGGATATTTGGATGATCGGGAGATAGCAAATTATAACAGTGACACTCGTCAGTATCTTCCCAAGACTGAGTGGATGAAGAAACTGGGATCTGACTACTGGGAGAAGGAGACACAAATAGGTCGGAGCAATGAGGCCGTGTCCAAACATGGTGTGCAGACAGTGATGGAGCGATACAACCAGACTGGAGGTGAGAGAATTCTTCCACATTTATATGACACACACACCAGATACAGGGAGGAGATTCACCAACTATTCCTCCGGCTGAGAAAACACAGGAGAGACATTTCATGATTTACTAGAAGATCTCAGACTGATGAATAAATTCCTCCGTCACCTGATCACAATTATCACCGCGCCTATTATAATATATCACAGCGACTTCCTATAGGAAACCCGTCCTGAGAGGACTATGGAGGCCGCTATTGATGATCTCCTCTACCCAAGATGCTATCTGCCGGGCTGTCATACTGATCCATTGCTATCAGTACATTGACGGCCCATTTAGATCTATGTGTGTGTGGAGAGGTGCGTTTTTTTGTAGCATTAGGAAGGTGCGTTGTCATGTATCAACACGTGTGAGCTAATATGTGTTTTGTGCTTCAAATCCGTTTTTTTAAATCAGTATTTGGCGTGGATAGTGATAACAGCCATACACAAGGCTCCTTAATACATGTTACCAACACATCATAATGCATGTTACATGCGTTTAGATGTGTTATCATTCTTCTATGGGCCTCCCAATGCACTAAAACAGAAAACATGGAAATGTATTTGTAAAAACAGCGACACTGCAGCACTGAGATGAGAAGAGACAATATATTATGGGGACCCACAACATGTGCCTCTGAGCTTGTCAGAACGTGTGCAGTAAAACACAACAATGTAAATGGGCCGTCAGAGTCATGGAGCCGGAACAAGCAGTCAGATGTATCCGGGTACACACAGCCTGCGGGCTCAGCAACAAAAATATAACCCATTCCTCCATCCGTGCTCAGCAGTGTGGACCGATCTCCCGCTGTGTGCTTTGTATTCTGACAGTGGCGGGGGGGGGGGCTGCTGTCACAATACCTGAATAATGCCGGAATCCAATCAGATCGTTCAGGTATTTTGAGATTCTCTCAGTCTCCACCCACAACTCCTCCCCTCACTTATATATGATCTACCATATGATTTCTCTCCTCCTGGCTCACCGAGGAGGGAGTGTGGGGGGAGGGGAGGAGCTGTCACCGGCCTCATACTTTCTTCTGAGTGTCAGCTCACATGCTTAATCTGGTTTCACAGTCACAGAGGAGACAGCTTCAACATCTGAAATAAAGTTGTTTTCCTGTGTAGATTGTTATACATTTGATGTTTGTTGTAGATTTGTTGTCTGTAGTTTTGATCATTCTGAGCATTGCAGAGGAGATGACAAGTATTGACACTGCCCCAGTGTGTATAGTGGGTAAGGAAGGGCTCGGACGTGTCGCAGCTCCAGGGGCCGAGCCCGCTAGGAAGCTGACAGCGCGCATCACAGCACAGGCACTGAGACATTTCCCGATCTCTGCAGCTGCGGACCGGGAACATGTCTCAGTACCTGTGATTGACGCTGCGTGCTGTCAGCCTCCTGGCGGGCTCGTGGAGCTGCGAACACGCCCGAGCCCATCCTTAATAGTGGGGAGGAGGGAGGAGGGGGCGGCTGTGTGCAGTGAGAGATGAATCCTCTTGGCCTCATGTGAGCTGTCAGCAAAGAAAGATGTGCATGTGACCAGAATCAACGTGCACGGCTCTTACTAAGGGACAGGAAGTGTGAGGGGAGAGAAGAGGCACGGGAGCGAGCACAGCCGACTTTGTAAAGGGATTAGAATAATAGGACTTTATATAAAACATAAATAAATGTGTCTTTGGAGGATGTTCATTGTGTAGATGTGTGTAAGGAGAAATAAGCTGAGGGGTTTTGTGTCACTTTAACATAATCTTGCTTTCATTTCTATATTTAGATTGCAATCCTACCTTATATTTCATTCAAAAAACGTTTGGGTGCACTCACGTTGCTCCTCCGTTCTTCCTTCACTTCCGGGCACTCTTCTCCATCAGTTCACAAGCTTTCTGTGAGAGCGTGCTGCTTTCCTGCGCTACATTTCCCACAATCCACTGCACGCACAGCTCCTACTGCACATGTCTCTATTCACAGAGTCCTGCCGGTGTTCTGTCGAAGACTCCGACCTAGATGGTGCTAGTGTGTGTAGACCAGCCATGCCGCTGTCAGAATCCTCATCAAGTTATCGAACTCCTGTCACTGCGCCTGCACGGCTTCACAATCTCCATCAAGTTCTCCAACCCCTGTCAGTGCACCTACGCGGTGACCGAACAGCAGAATCGAGTCCTCCAAATAACATTAGTGCGACCGAGTTCCCACCCGATTGCACAACATGCTGAGAGATTACATGTTTGCAACAAGAGGGCGCACTGACGAGTGCCAGAGAACTTCATGGGGATTGTGAATCCACGCAAGCGAATTGACGGGAGCTTGATAACCCGATGGGGATTGTAACACTGGCGCACACGCACCAGCGTGTGACATCACCAGTCGGGGATCTCAACAGGTCGGCGATTTCGACAGACCACCGGCTTATATGAACTCCCTCCGCTCCCTCCCATCACAGCTCTATCTAACACAGAACCACTGCCTCTGCACTCACTGAAACATCTTTCCCCCTCTGCTTCTGTGACAGGCCGCTCACACCTCATTCCTGGGCTGTCCTCTCCCCCTCTGCGTCTGTGACAGGCTGCTCACACCTCATTGCTGGGCTTTCCTCTCCCCCTCTGCTTCTGTGACAGGCCGCTCACACCTCATTCCTGGGCTGTCCTCTCCCCCTCTGCGTCTGTGACAGGCTGCTCACACCTCATTGCTGGGCTTTCCTCTCCCCCTCTGCTTCTGTGACAGGCCGCTCACACCTCATTCCTGGGCTGTCCTCTCCCCCTCTGCGTCTGTGACAGGCTGCTCACACCTCATTGCTGGGCTTTCCTCTCCCCCTCTGCTTCTGTGACAGGCCGCTCACACCTCATTCCTGGGCTGTCCTCTCCCCCTCTGCGTCTGTGACAGGCTGCTCACACCTCATTGCTGGGCTTTCCTCTCCCCCTCTGCTTCTGTGACAGGCCGCTCACACCTCATTCCTGGGCTGTCCTCTCCCCCTCTGCGTCTGTGACAGGCTGCTCACACCTCATTGCTGGGCTTTCCTCTCCCCCTCTGCTTCTGTGACAGGCCGCTCACACCTCATTCCTGGGCTGTCCTCTCCCCCTCTGCGTCTGTGACAGGCTGCTCACACCTCATTGCTGGGCTTTCCTCTCCCCCTCTGCTTCTGTGACAGGCCGCTCACACCTCATTCCTGGGCTGTCCTCTCCCCCTCTGCGTCTGTGACAGGCTGCTCACACCTCATTGCTGGGCTTTCCTCTCCCCCTCTGCTTCTGTGACAGGCCGCTCACACCTCATTCCTGGGCTGTCCTCTCCCCCTCTGCGTCTGTGACAGGCTGCTCACACCTCATTGCTGGGCTTTCCTCTCCCCCTCTGCTTCTGTGACAGGCCGCTCACACCTCATTCCTGGGCTGTCCTCTCCCCCTCTGCGTCTGTGACAGGCTGCTCACACCTCATTGCTGGGCTTTCCTCTCCCCCTCTGCTTCTGTGACAGGCCGCTCACACCTCATTCCTGGGCTGTCCTCTCCCCCTCTGCGTCTGTGACAGGCTGCTCACACCTCATTGCTGGGCTTTCCTCTCCCCCTCTGCTTCTGTGACAGGCCGCTCACACCTCATTCCTGGGCTGTCCTCTCCCCCTCTGCGTCTGTGACAGGCTGCTCACACCTCATTGCTGGGCTTTCCTCTCCCCCTCTGCTTCTGTGACAGGCCGCTCACACCTCATTCCTGGGCTGTCCTCTCCCCCTCTGCGTCTGTGACAGGCTGCTCACACCTCATTGCTGGGCTTTCCTCTCCCCCTCTGCTTCTGTGACAGGCTGCTCACACCTCATTGCATGGTGAAAGAATACAAAACCCCCAAATGTTAAATGGACAACACACCTAAAACTTTTACAGCTCATAAATTGTGGGACTCATCAATAACAAGGAGCAGATATCTCTATACTGTATGTTCTGTTATACTCCTATAGGTTACTATATACCACGGCCTGAACGTTTCATCCCATTAACCCTTTCACTGCCATGGACATAAGTATTACACCCATAGCAGCACATAGTAAACTGACCCCTGGAGGAGGACCGAGGTTGTAACGTGACCATGTTTCATCTAAAGCTGGCCATACACCTTACAATTATCTGCAGATTTTCTGTGGTCAGATGTAAAAGGTGCCACAGATTCCTCCATCTACGCTAAACTGTGTGTATGGAGTAATCTCCACCTGGGCCAATCTGTTGCACTTTTTCCATCTGACCACAGAAAATCTGCAGATAATTGTAAGGTGTATGGGCACCTTTACACCTTGAATAGTGTGTAACATAAAACATGGTCAGAAGCGTAATCTTAGCCTTTAACCCTTTTGCTGCCAGAGCCAGTTTGGCCTTTTTTTGCACACGTTCTAATTCACATTTTAGGCCTGAAAATGTTCCCCTAGAATTACATATTTCCTGACAGCACAGACCCTGTAGTGAAAGTGTTAGAATCCTGTACAGGTCATTAGTTTAGAGTTAGCCGTGAATATTGGCCCGAGACTTATTGCTCTCACTCTGGTGCATGCGGTGATACCCAATATCTGTAGCTCCAGTCTTCGTTTTTATGCATAGGCGCACCCTGCACGTGTTCCTGGGGATAGGGCATTTTAAAAACTTTTGGGGGAATTGTTTATTTAATTTAACTTTTTTACTTTTTTATTTTAACTTCATTGTCATCACTTAGGGGGGCTCATACTCCTCCGTCATACAACGCTATACTGAAATTAATTTTATAAAAAATTTTTGGGACAGATAGAGCTTTCTTTTGGTGGTATTTAATCACCACTAGGGAGGGTTTTATATTTTTACTGTATAACGAAAAAAGTACTGATTCTTTTTTAAAACCCTGTTTTTCCTACATTATTTTATAAAACATTAATTATTACCCATATTTTTTGCGAGTCATTTTCGCACATAGGCTCAACATTTTTTTTTTTGTGTGTGACTTTTTTAGACGGGGTCACGTGGGTTACATAGACACCAAACACGTC